CCCAGGCCTCACCCCGCATCCACAACCCTCCTGCACAAACCCCCCAGCTCCCTGAGTTGGGTCCCAGCCCCACAAGAGCCCTGTCCCCTGAGAGTCGGACCAGCTCTGAGGCCCTGAGCCCATTCCTCTCACCTGCCCCCAGCCAAACTGACCACTCACCCCTGCGGAAGAACGGACAAGTGAGTCCTTGTCATCATCAACGTTAGAGGGCACTTCAGTGTTTGCAGTGACCCCTGGTGTTGGCACCCTCATCAATACATCACCAGAGCCTCCAGCCGCCCGAAAGAAGCACAGGCTTCAGAGTCAGGTCAACAGGGTCTGAATCCCAGCTCCACCGCACGCTAAGGCAGAGTCCCTTGGGCATGTCACTGAACCTCAAGCCTCAACTTCCTCATCTAAAACTTGGGCTCATGGATCTGGCCCTGCCTGCCCCATAGTTTGCAGAGGAAATCAAGAGATAATGTGCATGGTGAGTGGGTTACTAACCCTAAAATTCTGCACCAAATAGTGACTGCTGAGCAATTCCCTTTTTGGAGAGAAAGCCAGAGATTTGCATAAAAGGGGTCTCCATTGTGTGAGTGTAGGTTCCAGAACCGAGGGTGATTTTCTTCCCCTGGCCAGGCTGCCTCCAGCAAGAGCACAAAACCCCCTAGATGGGGCTCCAGGAGGACAAAGTGGCTGACACATCACAGCCAGATCAGGACAGTCACCTGGCCATGCTTGGGGACAACCTCTGGCCCTTTGAATGGTCCATACTGACCCAAAGTTGAAGGAAAATTTTGCAATCGGAAGAGCTCACGGGGAGAAATCACAACAGGAAGAAACAAAGGGGGCACTTTCCCCTCTGAGCCCCCTCCCGCGGGCTTTATCACAAATATGCCCAGCAAAGCTTCAAAACTCCGGGAAGGAACAAAAGCAAAAACTTGCTTTTCGGTCTCAGGAGACATCAGGGTTAGGAGATCTTGGCAGGACACGTGTGAGCTCCAACTTTCCGTCATTCTGTTGGCGCTTCAACATTGCTAACCTCTGGGGACCCCTGAAAATAGAGGGATATTATGTGCATTTTTCTAGAAAGCAGACTCATCGCTTTTCTTGAAGGCTCAAAGGAGTCCTTAGTTGAAAATTCCCAGAATTAGACAGGGCATGGTGGCTCATGCCTGTAATCCCAGCACTTTGGGAGGCTGAGGTGTGTGGATTGCCTGAGGTCAGGAGTTCAAGACCAGCTTGGCCAACATGGTGAAACCCCATCTCTACTAAAAATACAAAAAAAAATTAGCCGGGCATGGTGGCATGTGCCTGTAATCCCAGCTACTCGGGAGGTTGAGGCAGGGGAATTGCTTGAACCAGGGAGGTGGAGGTTGCAGTGAGCCGAGATGGCACCACTGCACTCCAGCCTGGGTGACACAGCAAGAATCTGTCTCAAAAAAAAAAGAAAGAAAGAAAGGAAAAGAAAAAAGAAAATTCCCAGAATTCCAGGATGGTACAGAAGGAAAGAGGCAGTCAGCAGGGGTGCGGGGGCAGCCAGGCCTCCTTCCCTGCATGAACCTGGGCAAGTCACCGTCTCTGGGGCTTGACTTTCTCATCAATAAGGCATCATGCCTGTCTCCAGCCCAGAGAGCCGGATTCCAAATCCAGCTGCCCTCTTGACACCACCACTCGATGTTGAAGAGGCAACTCAGCATATCAAAAGGAAGCCCTGGATGTCTGCCATAGGCTTGCCTCCAGCCCTCTTCCTCCCGTCATGTCCTCATCTCAGCAAATGGCACCTCCAGCCACCCAACTGCCAACGCTAAACACATCCCAAGAATCATCCTAGAGTCTTGTCTCCTAGAGACAGGTCCTGTCGGCCTGCCCTGCAGAGCACAGCCTGAGTGTGTTCACTGCTTCCGACACCTGTCACCTCCAGGCTGATCTGCACCCGCTGGAGACCTGTGGTGACTCCTTCCTGGTCCTCTGTCTCCGTGTCACCCCAGGGCCTCCTCCACCCGCCACTGAACCTGCAGTCTCCCTAGCATGGCAGCTGAGTGCCACCTGCAAATTGCAGGCCCAGAGGGACACAGCGCTGCTCAGCTCCATCTTCTCAACTCAGCAGGTGCAAGGCCAACCCCACCTCAGTGTGTCAGGCACTGCCAAGTACATAGGTGCCAAGATGCAGGTCCCTGGGTCATCCTCATAGGCAGCCTCATGCCCCACTGTTGTCATCCCAGCTTACAGAGACAACCCTGACCCCCCACCCAGCCTCAAGGAGCCCCTGTGGCCCCTGTGACTTCATCACAGCTCTCAGCACCACTGTCTGTACTTTTCTTCACTGTTTGCTAAGCATCAGTCTTCCCCAATTAGAATATGAGCTCCAAGAGGGCAGGGATCCAGTCGCCTTCTTCAACTCCGTTATATTCCTGACACATAACTGCCACTCGGAAAATGTTTGGGTTTTTCTGTTTTTTGTTTTGAGACAGAGTCTCGCTCTGTCCCCCAGGCTGGAGTGCAGTGGTGCTATCTTGGCTCACTGCAACCTCCTCCTCCCGGGTTCAAGTGATTCTTGCTCCTCAGCCTCCCAAATAACTGGGATTGCAGATGCATGCCGCCATGCCCAGCTCATTTTGTATTTTTAGTAGAGACTGGAGTTTTACCATGTTGGCCAGGCTGGTCTCGAACTACTGATTTCAAGTGATCCTCCCACCTCGGCCCCCCAATCCTCACGCTGGGATTACAGGCATGAGCCACCACATTCAGCCTCACTCTGTAAATGTTTGATAAGTGAATGCTTGAAGGAACAATGTCTTCCCCACGAGGCCCTGATGATATGATGTCAATGAAACCTTTCACCTCGTAAGCCACAGCCCTAGTTCCCTGGACAGGGGACATCCTTGCTGAGAGACCCCAGGGTGCCTGCCTGAAAGGGAAAGTGGCATCAAAAGGCTGCTCTCTCTCCCTCGCACCTCTCTACAGAGCCCAAGCAGGGTGTGCCCTGCCCAGGGTGCTGGCTGGGTCCCTCACTGGGCCTCAGTGGGTCCCCTCTCCCCACATAGTTCATCATCTCCAGATCCCTCTCAGTGGCAGCGGAGAAGAACCACATCAGCTGCCTGGTGAGTCTGAACAAGGGGACCCAGGGGCGGGGATGAGGCCACGGCAGAATCCCACCCTGCCCTGCCCCTCCCGACCACTCACTCCTTCAGCTTATTCCCCAGCACTTCTGAGGGACCTGCTAAGTGTTGGGGCAGGCCACCATCCAGGCAGACCAGATGCAGACTGTGCATGTACAGGAGAAGACAGGGATGACCTCTCAATACACAAGCCAGGGTGGAATGTGAGGTCCACGGATAAAAGGCTCATGGTCATTCCAAGAAAGGAAGGATGCTAAAAGACATCCTGGCAGAGCAGAGCCCTGCTGGGCCTTGGTAAGCAGAGAGGACGTAGAAACTCCACGGGAAAGGTTGAGAATGCACGGAGGGGCGTGGGTGGGGTCGCCACTGAAACCACGAATGGCTCCGTCCAACGAGGGCAAAGGCAGGGCAGGGAAAGTGGAAAGACATTAGACAGAGAGATTTAATCCCACAATGGGGCTGGATCACAATCTCAGGAGGCTTGGTGCCTTCTGCAGGCACGGGAAGGCAGCAGAGGCTTTGAACAGGGGGCTGTGCGCTTTATGTCAGGCTGAGGCCATGGCAGTGAGGGACACGGCACTTACCTTCTGGTGCCTGGTAAGACACCCATAAAGCAAACTAACAAAGAGGATAGTTGCCAAGCGTGGAATGTGCCGAAAGGAAGCCAACAGGATAATGTGAGTCATTCTAAGCTCAACTGGGTTCCCTGAGCTGGGGTCAGTGAACCGAGTCCTCACAGTTCAGAGGGCGACAGCCATGGAAGAGCCCGGCCGGGAAATGCCATAGGCTCTGAACAGGGGACTAGGGTCCTGGACCACCACACGCAAGGGCAGGGCCAAGAGGGAGAGGCTGGGGAGGTGACTCAGAGCCTAAATGCCAAGTTCAGGTTTATTTTAAGGGCAATGAGAGATACAGAGGCTTCAGCAGGGGATTCCTTGCCCTATTTCCATACTTGCAAGGTGTCCCAGGGGTTGGGCAGAGAATGGGTGGTGGAAGGGCAGGACCAGAAGACAGGACTCTCAGGACCGAACCCAGCATCCCCCAGCCCGTAAGCTCCAGGAGGACAAGACCTGACCTGCTCTCTCCTGGACCCAGCACCTTGCAGAGTGCCTGGCATGCAGCAGGTGCTCAATAAAATCTTTGGACTTAATGAATCAATTAATGGATTTCTTGTGAGGCTGTTCTGATCTCAATGAGCTCCTGGTTTCTATTTAAAAAGAAGAAGAAGAATCAGGCGTCTTTAAACCTGAAGAGGTCCTAGAGTCCCCAGCCCACCCGTGAGTGGCTACCCCTTTAAGCCTGGGGCAGATTCACCAGCAGGCTCCAGCTGTGGGTCACAAGATCATCAGGTTCTGGCTGCATGGGGATGGTGACCCCTGGGTGGCTGCCTGGACCACCCCAGGAGTCACTTGCCCTGCACGCTCTTCAGAGCCTCAAGTCTTAGGCCTCTCAGCCCACGCAGCCTTCAGGCCATCGGCTCCTGCCCCTCCTGTCTCTGCCTGGTGTCCCACCAGGGTCTGCAGTGCCTCACTCTGCCAGCCGCTTCCTGGGACCTCCTGGAAATAAACTCAACCCCTCTCCTCACCAGGCCTCAGTGTCCATAGCAAAAGGCCTCCCCAGCCCATGCCCCTGAGCAGCCCTCAGCTGCAGCTGCCCTTGCACGGTGCTGGGCCCCGGGGCGAGGGAGCCACAGTAAGGGGTGGGCTGGAGGCTGCAAACTCCACCCAGAGAGGCTGTAAAGGAGGTGGTGCCTGTCTCCCTGGAAGCTTCTAAGAAGACAAGAGAAGGAAAGAGAGACAACAAAGCCTCCTCCCGAGGTCCCAGGGGAGGAGAAAAGGAGAGTGGTGGATGAGAACGCAGCTGCGCGCAGGGTGGCATGGCCGCTGCCTCCTTGGCTGTGGGAGGGAACATGCTGGGGGCTGGGCAGCTGAGCCATGGCACCTGCCATTTCTCCATCTCTTCCGCTCTTCCCCCTGCTCTTGTCTCTCGGCCTCTGCAGGTGAGGAACAGCCTGGGCACCAACATCCTCAGCGCCATGGCGGCCTTTGCTGTGACGGCCATGCTGCTCATGGATTTTGGCGTAACTAACTGGGTGCATTGTCAGATGGCCCCAGGGGTGGGAAAGCTGTGTCCAGGAGGGCAAAGGGTGAGCGTCTGCAGCATCAGGACATGGGCAAGGCCTGCCAGTCACTATAGACCTCAAGAATCCATGGACCCTCTGAGCCTTCCCCAAGATGGGCACCAGAAGGAACAAGGAGGCAGCCTGGAGGGCAAAGGGGAGGGTGCAGGATGGGCGGCAGGGGGACCGGCTCCAGGCACAGCTCTGCCACCAACGAGCTGTGTGACCTTGGGCAAGTGATTCTCACGCAGGGGACCTCCTTACTCTAGAACTCTGGGCTCACCTTTCTGTGGGTTTTGGCCCCCAGGACGTGGGCAGGGGCTCTCTGGCCGTGCTGACTGTCTTCCCCATCCGGGAGTTCTTTGTCACAGTCATTGTCACCCACTTCGGGTGCCAGGCCACTCGTGCCCAGGCCAACGCAGTGAGTGCCCCCACCCACATCCACTAAACCTGAGCCTCTGGAAGGCAGTTGGCTGGGCACATGCTCTGCCTCCAGCTCCCTCCCTCTGCCCTCTGGGAAGGCATATGGAGAGACAGCACTAGGAGGGGTGTCCCATCCATGTCAGGGGGCCCAAAGAAGTCTTTGGCTGGGCATGGTGACTCACGCCTGTGATCCCAGCACTTTGGGAAACAAGACAGGAGGATCTCTTGAGCCCAGAAGATCTCTTACGAGCCTGGGCAACATAAAAAGGTCCTATCACTGCAAAAAAAAAAAAAAATGTTTTTAATTAGCCAGGTGTGGTGGTACGCACCTGTAGTCCTCGCTAGTTGGGAGGCTGAGGCAGGAGGATCGCTTGAGCCCAGGAGGTTGAGGCTGCAGTGAGCTATGATCACGGCACTGCCCTTCAGCCTGGGTGACAGAGCGAGACTGTCTCTAAAACCAAAGCAAAACCAAAGACGTCTTTGCAGTTCAGTGAAGACAGGAGTGTTCTCCTCAAAGCACAGGGTGGCGCCAGCACCCACGGAGCCACTGCTGGGTGCAGCCCTGCAGATGGAAGGCCTGGGCTCAGGGTGTGGGGGCAGTGCTGCTCTCAGAGGAGGGGGACTTTTTGGGGTTCCCAGACCACGTGAGAGACAGGGGCATCAGGGAAGGCAGCATGACAGAGAAGGAAATTAAGCTTTAATTTCCAAAAAAAATGGAGTACAGTTATGATGGAAAGGGGCAGGAGGGAGCGTTCAAGGCAGGGGAACCAGCTGGAGCAAAGGCTGTCTCAGGCAGGCAAATGCAGGCCACAGGGTGGGGTGTTCTTGGCAGGTGCATGATGGGGTACATTGAGGGTAGGGGGGCTGAAGGCCTGAGCAGGGGAGTGAGCTGGCTCAGGGAAATCAGTCCAGAGGATCTGTCCAGCGCCGGGAGGTAGAGGGGTTCAAGGCCAATGCCACGGTGCCGGCAAGAGAGCGCAAAGTCCTGAACCAGGCCAGGGCAGCTGGGAGGGAAGGAACATCAGAACGTTAGCGCCTGGTGAAGTGAGGCTTTTGTCTGTTCTGTTCACTCCTGTACTCCCAGTGCCTGGATCATAGTTGGCCCCAGTACATGTTGTTTGAAATACTGATTGCACACAGAGCCCTAAGGGTGCAATTCAGACTTGCAGAATTCAGTATCAGGGTGCTGTTCTCAGATGACCCACAAGGGAGCACTATTGTGACACTAGCCTGAAGCTCCAGCATCCTCCAAGAGCTCAGTGCTGTTTTCTCTGCAGCCAGTGATCTTCCTGCCAAGCGCCTTCAGCGCAGACTTCAACATCCCCAGCCCGGCAGCCTGTCCGCCCCCTGCCTATGACAACGTGGCATATGTGCCCAAGGAGGTGTCTGAGTAGCAGATGTGGCACCTGCAGGTGGAGTCCAGCGTTTCCCCTCTGGGGCCAGCCTCTCCCCACCCCCACCTTGTTCATCAGGCGCCAGCCCCACCTTGGCCACCCCCTACCACCACGTCCACACACACGGCGGCAGAGTGAGGTGTGCCCAGGGACATCCCTCCCACACTTTCCCCAGTGGCTTCTTTCTAAAAGACACCAGGCTGACATCGGGGTGTGTGTCCTTCAGCTACCCAAGTCCCATCATCCTTCCAGGGACACCCCCTGTGCATTTCTCTGCTCATAGGGGAAATCCTAGCCCTACTGAAGACTCAGGTTCGAGGCCTGCCCTGACCTTCAGGCATCAGGCAGGTCATTAAGCTCAGAGAGCCGAGAATCCTCCAGAATGGAAGAGTCTGACTCTGGCATTCCACAGAGGTGCAGATGCCCCCGAGGCCACACAGCAGGGCAGTGGCCTGACCTCAGGTCCCCTGGCCCTGAGATCAACTCTGTCCTTTGTCATCTGTTGCTACATCCGTGGACCTCAGGTTTCCCATTTGGAAACTCGAGTGTTGAACCAGATAAGGTTCATAAGGCTCTTCCAGCTCCCCAGGCTCCCTGAGTCCTGGATCTAAGCCAGGCATCATCCCCCTATTCCCTGGAAACCCTCTTTGTCCTTATCTGGCTATGGAGTCAGCATTGCCCCCCCCACCATCTCCCAAGATGGGGGAGGTTGCAGCGGAAGGCTGACGCCAGCCCCCTCCTGAGGCCCACCACAGTCAGCATCGACAGGGGCACAGCAGTGGCAGTTAGAGACTTCCCTGTGCCTCTCAGCACTCCCTTGCCCACCTCCATAGCTCAAAGACAAGGCTACCACAGAAGGTTACCATGAGACCTGGGCTTTGTCTCCAGGGGACGAGGAAACACTGTCAGCCTGGTGTCCACCAGCCCTTGTAAATCAGATGGCTGGTCTCATCCACACCACAGAAGGAAATAAACCATGTGGCTTAAGTTTTGAGCTGGTCTCGTTGCAATAACTTTTTCTTTTTAACCTCAGGGGCTTCCGAGGGTCATCCCACGTTTATCAGAGGACATGGGTAACCGTCCCACGGTCACAGCAAAAGGGCACCTCTGGGTGCCATGCTCTGTGTGGTGTAATCCTTACACCTCTGTCCCCATCTCAGTTCAAACAAACATGCATTCATATCCTCCCTCCACAACTAAGAACACCGCAGCTTGAAGAGGTTAAATTATATGCCCAAGGCCACCAAGCTAGTAAGGAGCAAAGCTGGGATCTGGGCTGGGCACAGTGGCTCACACCTGTAATCCCAGCACTTTGGGAGGCTGAGGCGAGCGGATCACGAGGTCAGGAAATCAAGACCAGCCTGGCTAACACAGTGAAACTCTGTCTTTACTAAAAATATAAAAAATTAGCCGGGCATGGTGGTACGTGCCTGTAGTCCCAGCTACTCAGGAGGCTGAGGCCGGAAAATCGCTTGAACTTGGCAGGTGGAATTGCAGTGAGCTGAGATCGCACCACTGCACTCCAGCACTCCAGCCTGGGTGACAGAGCGAGACTCCATATCAAACAAAAAATAAATAAAAGCTGAGATCTGCACGTAGTTCCATGTGACGTCAGAGTCCATGTTCTCACCACCTGGTCTTCCCTTAGTACAAACCAAAGTGCTTCCCACCAACCCCTTCTCATTCCTTCTGTTTCTTCATCCCCAAAACTAAGACGGGCTGCATTCCTCAGCACACTCACTTCTTCTTCACCCAACAAACTCCTACTCCTCCTTTAAGACCCTATTTAAATGCTGCCCCTTCTGTGCCATCTTCCCAAAGGAGGGGTGGTCCACTAGGTGGCTAGGTGCCATGACCACAACACTGGAATGAGGGTGGGGCAAGGGAGGTGCCATCCAAGGGAACATTCACTCTCAGGGTCCCATCAGTGCAGAGTTGGGGTAAGGGGTACCACAAGGTTTGGCTTTCACAATCAAGAAAGGAGACTCGAGGATTTGGAGCTTAGAGTTTAAGATCATTAAGTATAGAGCCGGAGGAAATGTACTTGAGGATTTAGGACCAGTTTTCTTGCCACATAAAGGAGACTAGAGGCATTTCAGAACTGAGGGGAGAAGCTGGGGGAGAGAGAGAAAAAAAAAAGAGTGTGTTTAACCCCAAGCTGGGATTGCTGCCCTCTATCCTCTGCTGACCAAATCCCTCGGGAAGTCTGTAGGCCAGAAACCACAGATCCATTAAGAGGAATTAAAGACCACAGGTGCCCAGAGATGTCCCACGTCCAGACAGCGTGGAGCCACAACATAGATACGGCTGGGGACTGTGCCTGGCAACACAGCATCCCACACTCCCGTGTAGTAAATGAGTCCAAGCATGAGAAAGCTTCCTGTTTCCTGAGCTGGCAGGTGGCCAGATATGTAATGTAGATTGTGTGAGACTTTATAACAAATATGAGCAGCAAATGAGAAGGGGACAGTGGCCACCGCGGAGAGACCAGCAAGAACAGGCTACACCTCAGCAGAGGCTAGCAAGGACAGACAAGGGCTTATGGACTGGAAGTCATTGGAAGTGACTGAGTTATCCTGAATTGGCAAAATTACGTTTTCTGCCAACACTGAGAGTAAATGGGAGGTAGAGAGATAATTTCTGTGAGGAACAACGCTGAGAACTACAAAACGTTACAAGGAGAAATTAACAAAGCTCTAAGTCAATGAAAGGATACCCTGTGTTCATGAATGGAGAAGCTCAAGTTTTTTTAAATGCCATTGATCTCCAGAATTTAGCTATAAATTCAATATGATTCCATTCAAAATTTTAGGAGTTTATTTTGGGGAACTTGACAAGCTAATTCTAAAATTTATATGGAAATTAAAAAATAGAAGAACACTTAAAGACAAAGTTGGAGGATTTAAACTATCTGATTTCAAGATTTACTACAAAGCAACAATTTAGACATCGTTTTAGTGCAAAAACGGACAAAAAGACCCATGGAATGAAATAGACAGCTCAGAAACAGACCCTCACATATGGTCCCTTGATCGATGACAAAGGCACCCACAATTAAGTGGATAAATGACATTCTTTTTCATCAACGGTCCTGAAGCAATTATATATTGACATAGAAGAAAAAGGACCGTAATTCCTACCCCACACCATACATAAAAATTCAGCATGAGTCACAGACCTAAATTTTATAAAAAAAACAAGTTTCTGAAAGAAAACATAGGAAAATATTATTTGGAGATAAGCAAAGATTTACTAAACTAGAAATGCAAAACACACTAACAATAAAAGACAATACTAATAAATTAGTTTATTAAAAATTAAGACCTCTGTTTATCAAAAATCACATCATAAGTGTCAAAATGCACAACATATACTGGGAGGAAATTTTGAAATACATCGTATGTGACTTGGGTCTCATGTGCAGAACGTGCAAATAACTCCTAAAAATAAATAAGTAAGCCAGGCGCAGTGGCTCACGCCTGTAATCCCAACACTTTAGTAGGCCAAACCGGCCGGATCGCCTGAGTCAGGAGTTCAAGACCAGCCTGGACAACATGGTGAAACCTTGGCTCTACTAAAAATACAAAAATTAGCTGAGCATGGTGGCATGCACCTATAATCCCAGCTACTTGGGAGACTAAGGCAGGAGAATCACTTGAACCTGGGGGGAAGAGGTTATAGTGAACCAAGATTACGTCACTGCCTGGGCAACAGAGTGAGACTCTGTCTCTAAATAAATAAAATAAAACAAAATAAAATAGAGCTCAATTTAAAATGGGCAAAGAACTTGAGCAGACATTTCACAAAAGAGGATATAAAAATGGCCAATAAATGTGTTCAACATCATTAGTCCTTAGAGAAATACAAATTAAAACTACAATGAGATACCACAACACACCAGAATTGCTAAAATTTTTAAAAGACTGACTTATAGAAGTGTTGATTAGGCTGGGAAGCTAATCTTCTTACACATTGCTGGTGGGAGTAAAAATTGATACTACCACTTTGGAAAAAAATGTTTGGCAATATCCACTAAAGCTAAACATACACATTCGGTATCACCCAAGAGTTTTATTCCTGGATATAGACCCAACAGAAATGAGAAAATTTTCGCTAGAAGACATATACAAGAGATTTGGATGACAGCTTTATTCATAACAGGCAAACACTTGAAACAACTCAAATGTCCATCAACCATAGAGGTAAATAAACTGTTCTATATTCACTAAAAAGGAATAAATAAAAAGAACAAACTACTGATACATCTAACACATGGGTGGATCTCTATGTGAAAGAAGACAAACACCAAAGGGCACATCCTGCGTTATTCCACTGATAGGAATTTCAAGAACGGCTTACATAAACTAATGGTGGTAGATGTCAGCACAGTTGTTGGCCCTTGGGAGCAGCAGGTGAGGGGAGCGTGACATAGTCTCCAGGGCAGTGCAGATCTCCATATCTTGACCTGAGTTATGGCTGCATGGGTGTAGACATAGATAAAAATTAACCAAATTGGACACACCTATGCACTTTACTGTCTGTAATTGCCTCCAATTTTTTTTTAAGTGGTAAAAAAATAAAAATAAAAAGTTACTGTATTCGCTATTTCTGCACAGTAAATGACCACAAACTTAATGGCTTAAAGCTGCATGCATATATATTACCTCACAGTTTCTGTGGTCCTATCCAGGTGCGTCTTGGTTGGGTCCTCTGCTTAGGGCTTCATAAAGCTGCACTCAAGATGGCAGCTGGGCTGCACTCTTATCTGGAGACTCCAATGGGGAAGAATCCACTTCCAAGCTCATTCAGGTTGATGGCAGAATTCATTTCTTTGAAACTCTGGGACTGAGGGCCATAGCTTCTTTCTGTCTGTCATTACCCTCAGCCCCTAGAGGCTGTTCTAAGCTCCTTGCCATGGGAGCCTCATAACATGGACATTTACTTCTTTGAAACCAGCTGGGGAGAGAGCCCTATAGCAAGCTGGCCAGCAGGATGAAGACTTAAATAACAACATAATTGCGGAAGTGCCATCCCATCACCTTTGCCACAGGCTGTTGGTTAGAAGCAAGTCACAGGTGCTAGCCGCACTCAAAGGGAAGGGTTATTGGGACCACCTTAGCATTTGTCTGCCTCAGTTACAGTTCTGCTCATTTAAATTTGTAATTGTAAAATGCAAATTCAATGTATTTAATTCCCAGTGTAAAAAGCCCTATCTTTACCCCCTAAATCCCTTCAGCTGTAGGTTAATTTGCCTCCTCGCCTTTATTTTCCTCACTCCCATCCACCCCACTGAAATCACTCTCTAAGGTTATTGCATTGACCTTGTCACCAAAATCAATGGGCTTTTTAAAATTCTTGTTTTAGTAATAGCTCCTTCCATTTCTTAAATGTTGCCCACCCTTATACTTTCCTCTCTGTACACTATGGACTCTCTATGTGATCTCATCCACCACTTCAGCTTCATTTAATCTTTTATTCAGCAAGTGCTGACTGGGCACCTGGTATATGAGCAGGCTCTGGAGACACCAGACACCAGCCAAGAACCCTGTTCTTACGGAGCTCACATTAGCCATCTACCACGTCTTCCACCCAGACTCTTTTGCTGAGACAGCCTCAGCATCTACTTTCACGTCTCACCAAAAGGAATTTACGTCTTCCCTTCCAACTCAGACCATTTCCCCTCCTGTGATGTCAACTCACGTTCCTGTAGACCTTGGGCCAGCCAGGCCTGAACCCCAGCATCATTCTTGGTTTCCCCTCTCTCTAAGCCACACAGAATCACCCCGCACTGATTCTCCTTGCTCTGATTTCTCAAGTGGGTCTACTCTCCTCGTCCTCCTCCTTTGAGCCACATCACCCCTCACCCGCGTGGGGCATCAGCCTCCTAAGCTCCTAACCTCGTCCCCAGCTCTGAGCTTGCCCCATGCATCTCCTGACTAGATGACAGCCAGAGGGGTTTTTCTAAAGTACAAGTTATCATGTTCCTGTTCTG